TCGCCCTCGCTCTTCCAAGTTGTAGAGTTTGTTTTCTATACAGTGTCTTGTACATCCCCTTGTTACAATGTATGATCCTTTATCCTTGTTCCAGCATTCTGTTTTTTTTCTTTCCCTTTCCCAAATTATAAAAATGTATATAAAAGATACAGTCAAATGAGTCTGCATAGTGCTCCTTTATGACCCAGCAATCCTACTTTGGCCATTTAACCAAATGATCACAAGGAAGGCTATACTAAAGCTACAAACACATCCATGTTTATTGAAGCATTATTAATCATACTTAAGATACGGAACCAACCCAGATGCCCCTCAGTAGTTGAATAGAACAAGAAATTGTGATATGGATATGGATATAGATATAGATATAGATGAATAACTTGTTACACACCCAAGGGAATTCAATTTTTCCATCGGAAAGAATAACATTGCCCTGCTTGTTAGGAAGTGGAAAGACTTGGAAAAATTATATTCAACATCACATCACTATATTTTGTGATGTCTTATCTCTGTCTCTGTCTCTCTCTATCTCTTTCTCCATCTATATCTATCTATCTATCTGTCTGTCTGTCTGCCTATATCTTTCTGTTCCAATCCATATATTTTTGAGCTTTTCTGCTCATTTAATAACATTATCATAGATATATGCTAATTATCCCAAATAAAGGAAGAGTTTTGTATTGATAAGTCTGAACACAATAGATACAAATAGAATTTCAAAGCATACTGTACAAGTCATACTAGGAAGGGATTAAAGTTTTCTTGAGCAGTACATTCAGCAGATACTGCTAAATCTTAGTGAGATAAAATTCTTACCTGCTCAATTAAAATAATCATATAATTTGGATGAAAAATGCAAAATCATAGTTTTTTACATATAATTATGTATTTTGATATCATTTATCGCCTGTCTATTTGGGATGATAAAAATTGGAAAGCTGAACATTTGTTGAAAACCAGTTGACTAAAGGAACACAAACATTGATTGATTATATTATGAGATACTGAATTCGACAGTGTAATTACTGACATGAATTCAAATCTAACAATCTATATTAACAGTTCAAATTCATTTCAACTACACTTACTTACGCTTATTTCCAAGTAATAATCATCAAGGCCAATACTTGGAGATTTCTTCTATCATAGTAATAAAAGCATGAAGAAAAGATGGAAGTTGGTTATTGAATATTAACAACATATTCCAACAAACAAAATGCATGAACTGGGAAGAAGAAAGGGAGTCACAGAAGGCTCTGCATCTTTCTATGTCTTTCAGCAAGCGAGGGGGAAAAATGAATATCCATTATCATTTTCTTTCAGATCAATGAAATGTTTGTTTTACAAAAATGTTTCTTCATGAGAATTTTAGGAAAAATTTTTGTTCAATATTTTCTTACTTGTGTCAAAGAAAAATTACAATATCATTTGTACAATTAGGAAAAAAATTCTCTTAGCTGTGCATTGTAAAATTACTGATGTGCTATAAGCAAAAGCTACCCATATCAGTTTTAACAATTTTACACGTGTTCAATCACTAAGTAATACTCTTATTCCACATAACGTCTTTCATTGTTCATACAAACCTGTGTTATGCTTATCCTTCTTTTTGGAAATATACTTTGTTTTCAGACAGTATTACACTGGAAACATTCCTGTTACTAAAGGGATTGCTTCTTCAAGCAGTTTTTCTGAAGATCTACCTTGTGAAAGAAAGTTGGAACACTCCAGTTAGGGTAAAGGTTAGGTTAGATATGTGAATTCAGAAGATAAGCAGCAGAGATGGTGGTTTTGAAACAGATTTTTCTGTTGGAGTGCATAATTAGGCCACAGTATTATACATATTGAATTATATCAAATATTTGCTATAATATTTGAAGCAAACTGTGAACATGAATAAAATTCTTGAAATTTATTCAATACTAGTGCATGAAATCCTCCTCCTCTTCCTTCTCTCCCCCACTTTTCTTCCTTCCCATTTTCTTCCTCCTTCCTTCCCTTCCTTCTTCCCATCCTTGCCTTTTCCCTTCTCCCCTTCCTCATTTTCTTTTTTCCTTCCCTCCTTCTCTCTCTACCTTCCTCCCTCATACCCTGCCTTCCTCCAGCCTTCCCTCTCCTTTCCTTCATTTCTTCCTTCTCTCCGTCTTTCCTTCCTTCTTTGCTTCCTTTTTCCTTTCCTCGCTTTTTATACTTCCTCTTTTCTTCATATTCTTATTTACTATCTATTTCTAGTATGCATGCACACATCATTTCCTTGTTTTATTTTCACTGCCCCTCCCTGCCTCACCCCAGCAAGCCTGGGACTTGAATATGGAGCACAGATTAGAACTAATGGCTTGGTCTTTAACCTAAATGCTGGGACTTGAACTCTCAAGCTGGGCTTTGAACACATAACCTGGAATTGAAACTCTGGGCCTGAACCTTGAACTCCAACCTGGGTCTTGTACTCAGGGCCTGTACTTGAATTCAACTCCTGGGAATAGAATTCAAGGCCTGTACCTAGAACTAGTGCTTAGGACCTGAGCTCTGATCCTAGGCATTTAACTAACAGCATGGCATTGAAGTCAAGCATGGGCCTTAAATTCACAGCCTTGGCCTTGAATTCATGTCCTGACACTGCAATTTGGAACCTTGGATTGAATTCCTTGCCTGGGACTTGAAATGGTGTGCTTGCCTTGAATTCAGGAACTGGGACTTGGACTCACAGACTGGGCCTTGCATTAGGTCTTGGACCTTGAACTCACATCCTGGGCATTAAACTCCAATCTGAGTCCTTGAACTAATTACCTATGCCTTGAATATAGGGACAGGGTCTTGAATTCATTTCTGGGACTTGAATTTGTGGCCTGGGCCTGACAATGGGGCCAGGGAATTGAATTCACAGTCTGGGCCTCAAACTAGGGGCATGGGTTTTGAACTCAGTTGCAGACCTTGAATTCGAGTACCAGGCATTGAATAGGGTCCTGGGCCTTGAATTTGGAGACAAGAATGAGCTTTTCTGTGCTCAGAGCTGGTGTTCAACCACTCCAGCCCTGACTGTTTATCTGTGTTTCTTCCACAGTTGGAAAAATATTTTTATTTTTATTTTGGTTTTTGAATCAAGAATTTACTTTTTCTCCAAGAGAAGAAATTCCATCCAGTTTCGTGTTTCTTGCATTTTGTTTCTTTGTTTGTTTCCTTTATATGTTAGTATTTCTCTTTATCTGAAAGTGGAGGGGCTAGGCTAGAAGACAGGGAGGGTGTAATGTGTGTTGGAGGATGCTGTCCAGACGTGTATGCTTTCTACTGAAATGAAAGAGGGGATATTATCAGGCTTTCTAGCCCGTCAGTGGTTACGTAGGTGGACATGATCCAGAGTCCAGTTTGCACAAAAAAGTAAAAGGGGCAGGGCCAAAGTGTGAACCACACACAGGAATAGAGGTGCAGGTGTGTGCACCCACACAGTGCTGAGAGAAGTTTCTAGAACCAGGCCCAGCTTTGCAACCATGCCAGCTTATTTCTGTTTTGGATTTGAGTTGGGGGATTTAAATTGACCCCAGACCTTCTCGGTACACCTCACAAACCCCTTTCTCCATGTACAGAAACTGCCCTGCCCTGCTGTAGGATGATCAAACAGCTCCCCAAATACACGACAGGATATCTTCTGTTGTGGTGGTGGTAGTTTACCTGTTCCTTCTCAAAAAAGTCTATGGATTCCACCAACAAGCCTTTTGTGAAGTGGGAGCATCTTCTTATTTCTTTGCCGCTTTTTCATCTTTCTTCTCTTCGTCCCTCCCTCTCTCTTTTACATCTATGTCCTCCTGCTCTTTGTGTGGGCAAGCCTCAACATGATTTTTTTTTTGCTTTATTTATTTGGAACTGTTTTTCTAAGGATTTGCATCTTGCATGGAGCATCCATATTCCCACTTTTGGGGAAGCTGAGTGCATAGAGGAGGCTGATAGTGACAGGGCAGGTTTATTCTTGAAGTTTCCCTTCCATGTAGGGGTCAGCCCTGGCTGGGTGGTATCTCTCTTGCCTAATGGGAATGGAACCTCAGGAAAAGGGTATGAAAAACCAAGTCTAGAAGAAGAAAGGAAGTGAAGGAAGGAGAGGGAGGGAAGAAAAAGAGGACCAAGGAGGGAGGGAAGATGAGGAAAGAAAGCATGGAGGGCATGGAAGGAGGGAGGAAGGTGAAAATGGGAGGGAAGAAAGAAGGATGGGAGCAAGGAGGCTGGGGGAAAAGGATGTCAGAAGGAAAAACAAAAGCAAAGAATGAGAGAAGGGAGGAGGGAAGTGAAGGGAGAGTGAAAGATGGAAGAGTAAAGGAAAAAGGGACCAGGCTAGAAAGGAGGAGGGAGCAAAGAGGAAGGAAATTAGGGAAGAAAGGTAGGAAGTACAAAGGGAAATAAAAAGGACAAAGAAAGGGAGGAAGAGAGGGTGTAATGAAGGAAAGAAAGGAGGAAGGAAAGGCAGAAGGATGGAAGAGAGGAAGAAAGGCAGGAAGGGAGGAAAAACAAAGGTCAGAAGAAGGAAGGAAGGAAAGGATGAAGGAAGGAAAAAGCAAGAAGAGGGAGGAGTGAGGGAATGACGAGAGGGAGGAAGCAAGAGGCAGGAATATAGAAAAGAGGGGGCGGGAGGAGGGAAGATAGAAAAGAACAAGGGAATGAAAGGAGGGAGGAGAGAAGAAGAAAGGAGGGAAAAAAGAAAGGAAGGAAGGACAAAGGAAGGGAGAGAAGAAAGAGGAAATGAAGGAAGGAAGACGGAAGCGTAACGAAGGAGGAAGGGAAAGGAACAAGGAAGGTACTAAAGAGGGAGGCCAGTAGTAAGGAATGAGTGAATAAAAAACAAGAGGTAGGTCCCCAGCGCGAGTGTGCCGCCCCCCCTCCCCCCGCCCCTAGCGTGCTGGCGTGCGTGTGCGGGCTCTCGCACAAGGGCGCGGGAGGGAAGGATCGCTGGTGAAGTCCCAAGCTCCAGCCCGCGCTGTCCCTGCCCCGGCGCCGCCCGCAGCGCCTCTCAGGCTGGTCAGACCCAACCATGATCAAGGCCATCCTCATCTTCAACAACCATGGGAAGCCACGGCTGTCCAAGTTCTACCAGCCCTACAGTGTAGACACCCAGCAGCCAATCATCCGGGAGACTTTACACCTGGTGTCCAAGAGATACGAGAATGTCTGCAATTTCCTGGAAGGAAGCTTGTTAATTGGCAACAAGCTGATCTACAGACACTATGCATCACTGTATTTTGTCTTCTGTGTGCATTCCTCAGAAAGCGAACTCGGCATTTTAGAACTCATTCAGGTGTTCGTGGAGACCTTAGACAAATATTTCAAGAATGTATGTGAGTTGGACTTAATATTCCATGTAAACAAGATTCACAATATCCTGGCAGAAATGGTGATGGACCGAATGGTGCTGGAGACCAACATGAATGAAATTGTCTCGCACATCGACGCGCAGAACAAACTGGAGAAGTCTGAGGCTGGTTTAGTAGGCGCTCCAGCTCGGGCTGTATCAGCTATAAAAAATATCAATCTTCCCGAGATCCCAAGAAATAATAACATCGATGACATCGGTATAAAAGTGCCAAACCTGCCCTCTTTTAGATAAAATATTAAAAAGATCACTCCCAGGTAAAACCCAGGGGAAAAAATCATCTAAGTTTACCATGCATTTGTTTACCAAAAATAGAGGAGGCGAGTCTTAACTTTTGCTCTTGGATTTAAGTCAAGGTACTGTATAGAAGTTGTGTAAAATCAGTATGGAAGCTCATTGCTGTTTTCTCGCTCAGTGATTTTAAAGAAATTGAATAGTATAGTTCCTCTGTGTGTGAGAGAGTTTGTGTGTGTGTTTCTTTCTTTAGAAAAAACTGCATTCCTATGTCCACCTAAAGCATGCCCGTATGTATTGGCTATTGCAGTGTTTACAAAAGTGAGATACTTTAATTATATACAAGCCAAACTGTTGGTGTTTTGTATAGATCACAGGTAGAGCATTCTCTAATTCTTTCTACCGTTTGTCACAATTGATATTTAAAGAACCGAGTATGTATTGCATGAAAAAGTTATAACCTTTTCCTCTTAGTTTAAATAATTTCTAAGATAACTGGGAAAAAAAAAACAAGAGGGAGGAAGAAAAGAAGAAAGAAAGGAGGTGAGGAAGAAGGGTAAGAAGGGTAAACTGGAAGTAAGGTAAAAGGGAAGTAAGAAAGGAGGGAGCAGGTTTGATCATGGCATACAGTGGGGAGGGACCTCTTTGGTTCATCTTCCTCCCATGTCTCTCTGGGTTGTGGTGTCTGAACTGACTGGTTTGCCTTCTGGTCCGCTTGCCTTGTGGATGTCCAGAGAACTTGATCCTGACCTTGGGGTTAGGGGACCTAGTATCTGAAATATACCTGCCCTGTATTTGTAGTGGGGAAGTTAAAGGCTAAAAGATCATAATTTGCACTCCAGGCTGCTTTGCATTAACACTTCTAGGCCAGCCAGTGTTTGATGCAGCCCCAGACTCTTTCTGGGCCCAGGGGCAGCAGGGGGCTGGGAATTAATTTACACAAATGATAAGGTGATGGAAAGGAGGCAACTGGTCATCAGCGATTGTTGGTTATCTTCTCCACAATGTGCTTAGTGTCTTGTCTAACATCCCATGCCATAGGTAGGACAAGGAGGGTGGGGGTAGGAGGAGTTAGGGGGCAGCTGCCTTCCTCTTCCTTGTCCTCCTCATCCTCCTTAACCTCCATCGTCCTCAACATGGCCATGGACTCCCATTGAATGAACATCTTGGAAAGGTTAAGTACCATGCTGCAGCCAGTTCAGTCATAAGCAGCCAGTGAAAGAAGGATGTGCAAGGATAAGGATACGCAGTGGGAGGGGGGAGGGGGAGGGGGGAAGGAGTAGGTAGGGTAAGAGATACCTGGCAGTTACAGCAATGGAACGAGATTTAGGGCTTTGGGTCCCATCACAGGCAAGATTCAGTTCCATGATGACCTCTGGTACAGATCTGACTTCACTCAGAAATGATGGGTTGGTCGACTGGTTGGGCGGTGAGTTATTTAGTGTTTGGTGGGTTGATTGGGTGGTTGATGGGTTGCTTGGTAGGCTAGTTAATTAGCCAAAGAAACTATTCTTTTCTCATTTGACAGCAGATATAAGAATCTCTGTGAACGCTGTGTACAGGCTCTATCAAAAAATGATACTCAGATCTCAAACTCCTTCATGTATGATATAATATCATACATGAAGAACCAGTGCAAGTCTCCATGCAATTTTTTGTCAAACGTTAGAAACATAGATATATTCAGAATTTTGGCCACTGTTTACTCAAATAATGTTTACTTATACATAATTGATGAATATATACAAAAGGTGATCGAAAAGGCTATTTAAAAATATCCCAAAAGGGAGGCCATCATCAGTATCTTCTTTAGAAAAGACAACCAAAACTGTGTCTGTACTACACCTCTAGAACTTATTGTAGCAGTGATAAATTAGGAAATTCATTTTCTACACACTGCTTTATCAACCTTCAAATATTTTTAGGTTTTAATCAAACTAAAAGCAATTTTATAATCAATACCCTAGACATGGAATGAGAAACAATGAATCTCTCCATGATATCAGTTAAAAACCACGGCCTGGAGCCTAAAGGATTGGGCTGTTGTTCAATAGGTAGTAAATTTCAGTAGAACAAATCCCACAGGCCATTTTACACTTTAATATTAGCTTTCACCAGATTGTATGGTAACTTGCAAGACTGGATTTTGCGATTTTTCTCATATGTACACAGAAATAACCTCCACAGAGTCCTCTGAAAATGAAAAAAAGATACTTTGCCAGGAAAAAGCAATATATTGGGGCAAGATACAAATCTTTGCTGTTTTTCCCTTTAATACCTATACAATACCTTAGAAATCCCTATTAGGAGAAGGAAGATTCAAAATAGCACAAAGAGTATTACTGTGCAAATTACCCTCTGTCGTACTCTCACTTCCCTTTAGATAGTTGTTACTTATTTATATTATGGAAATATTCATTCTAGTTAAATAATTATTGCATGGGTCAATTGCCATTGTTACCCTGAATTATCATCTGAGAATATATATCCATGTAGGGCTCATGATTAGCCTGTATTTTTAAAATTCAATAAATAGGGCCATAATTTACTTGCTTTCTTTTTTTTTTTTCTTTAATTTAATTTAATTTTATTTGTGAACATACTGTACAGAGGAGTTACAGTTACATGGGCAGGATAATGCGTACATTTCTTACCAAGCATTGCAGCCTCCTCCTTTGTTTATCCTTCACATCCCTTCCCAGCCTCCCCCCTCCCCCCCTAATCCCAATCCTTCTCCTTACCCCCCCCCCCGCACCAACGTTGTAAAGCTCGTTTTGGACATGACAACTTGTACTTCTCATTGTTGCAACAGGTCCACCTGTATCCTTAAACAACTGGTTTTTCCCCATCTCCTCCACAAGTTATACTGACATCAAATATAGTGAAAGCAGGGGTTATACTGTGGAGGAGGGACATACAAAGCAACAAAGAGATAATCTTATAATTGTGTTAGAAACACATGCATGAAAGAAAAAAAACATTAAAATACACATCTAAGGGTTCATTTTCCTGACATCACATTATCTGACCTTTTCCGCTTGACTCATACATATACTAGATATTTCAAATAAGGGAAACCATGGGACCTATGTTTCTTTGGGCCTGGCTTACTTCACTTAATATAATTTTTTCCAAGTTTTTCCATTTCCTAACAAATGGGGCAATGTCATTCTTTCTGATGGAGGCATAGAATTCCATTGTGTCTATATACCACATTTTCTTGATCCATTCATCTACTGAGGGGCATCTGGGTTGGTTCCATATCTTAGCTATGGTAAATAATGCTGCAATAAACATAGTTGTGCTGGTAGCTTTAGTGTGGTCTTGTTTGTAAACATTAGGGTAAATGCCCAAAAGTGGGATTGCTGGGTCATAGGGGAGAAAAATTCAACAGAGAAACCGCAGATCTAAACAGCTGCATAGATCAACTAGACTTAACAGACATCTATGGAACATTTCACCCAGCAGCATCAGAATACACGTTTTTCTCAGCAGCACATGGAACGTTTTCTAAAATAGACCACATTTTAGGCCACAAAGCAAACTTGTCTAAATTCAGAAACATTGAAGTTATACCTTGCATTCTCTCTGACCACAAGGGAATAAAATTAGAACTCAACACCAAAAGCCACCAAAGAAAGTGCAGTATCACATGGAGGCTGAACAACACACTGCTGAATCAAGAGTGGGTCATGGAAGAGATTAGAAAGGAAATTCAAATGTTCATGCTATTCAACAAAAATGAACACACAAATTACCAGCTCCTCTGGGACACAGCAAAGGCAGTACTCAGAGGCAAGTTTATAGCTCTGAGCTCCTACATCAACAAATTGGAGAGACCTTTACTTGCTTTTTTAACTCTCAAATAAAAACTCAAATTATGATTATCAACATGCCTAAAATTTCAGAGTCCATCAGGAGTAATACTATTTACCCTATTCTGTCTACTCCTGCTTTTATACCTTCTGTGATTCAATCAATGAAGGAAAGGTGAACTCAACCAGGTATATAATTTCTAAAAACATTTGTACCTCCTTCCATTGTGACAAGCAGGTAAATCTCAGCAGTCCTATGAGAAAAAAATTCTTGGAGAATAATCCTGACTAAATACTTCAAAATGAGATGTCTTAAGTGTTGTTATTTCTTTAGTGAAAAGAACAGTAAACAAGTACAACATATTCATACCTAAATCTTGTAGCTAGACAGACTTGAAGTGAAATACATTGATTTCTCTATTTCACAGATCATGGTCACTTATAGCCAGCTAAAAAATGGATAACTTTTTCATCCAACAAATTCCATAATTTCCAGCCCATTTCTTTCTTCATGATAGACAAACAGTAGAAGAAAATATATCATGACAATTTTTGAGTGAAGTTGCAAAAAGTTTTCTAAATTATGGATGTCTTCATTAACCATTTCCATATAACCTTTTACAAATATCAAACACCTATTAAAACTTTACTGTCACTTGAAGAATGATTTGCCATCTTTATACATCTATCTTGCTTCCTATTAGGGTTATGAAATCAGTAGGAAAAATCATTCAGATAAGTGCTTCTTAGAGAAGATATGTACCACAAAGCAAATGAATCATTGTGAATCATGAGAGACAAAAATTGAGATTGGAGCTGTTGAATAGGAAGTAAATTTCAATAGAACAGTGTCAAGTGGACATGAAGCAGAGACAGAAGACATTTAACCATAGGTCCCACATAAAAATGATGGGAATAGAAAATTTCAATATCATCAAAATGGAAATTGTAATTTTCTGAAGTGTGGGGAAATAAAGTATTTTGATTCTTTTATCCATTGAACAATAATGCCTTCTTGGAGAAAATTTTAGAAACACATCTTGGGATATCAGGGATAGAATGAGAAAAAGCCATTAAGAGTAAAATGTTCCAGTCCTTTCCAAAAGCCAAATAGATAACATGTGTATGGAAGATGCGGAGAAAAGAAATGAGGGCAAGAAATTGTTACCTGTCTCCTAAAGTTAACTGAAA